ACAACTAAGCTCAAACCAAACAATGACAACTAAGCTCAAACCTAATAATGACAACTAAGCTTAAAACCAAACAATGATAAATATACTCAAACCCAAAAATTAAAACTATAGGCTCAAACCCAACAATGATAAAAAACTCAAGCCCAACAATGACAACTCAGCTCAAACCCAACAACGACAACTAAGCTCAAACCCAATAATCACAACTACAATGTAAGCTCAAAGCTATCAATGCTGATAATTACCAGTGGACTGTACAAACTAGTATACCAGGTTTACATGTCACACAGACTTAATGGCTCATGTGTTCAGCCTTGTTATAGCTTCGTGATAATTTGTTATATACATTCTACATTTCAACAAATTTATTCAACATGGAATACTGTTAGTACATGGAAAGAATTATAAAAACAACAGACTTCAAGCTTTTGTCAGTTCTCTCATAAACATCTGCTACAATAGTCAGAAATAACTGACTTTCTCTTTATATTCCAAATATTTGCAGGAGTTGGGAAGACCTCATTAGTTCATCTTATTTGTCACAATGAGACAACAAGTAATCCTGGCTGGACCATCGGATGTTCTGTGGAGGTCAAGGTGAGATAGAACTGACCACTACTGCTGCTTTGGTCAAGATTTCTCTATCCCTCTCATACTTGCCAACTCTCCCTATTTAGGAGGGAGACTCCTGATTTTGGTCCCTTCAATTTAATGTTAACAGACAGTGTGCAGTGGAAACTTGATAAAGATCCATTGTTTTCACTTATAACACAATTATCTGGTAATAAGCCCATGTCTGTTAATAGCCCGCCTGATATGTATATTGTAGTTCAGACATTGTCATGAAATAAACCTGCTCCATGCTTTAAGGAAGAAATTATGTGTTTAACTTGTGGGCTTATTGGAGGATAAGTACATGATTTTTACAAAAATATTGAAAATGTTTTGCAATAAACTTGCAATGTAAGGTATTTCAGGCCTCACTAATGAGGTCACCATATTGTTTAGTCGTTAAATTAAATGTTTAACAGCAAGTGGTGGAAATCTACCTGAAAATCTGCCAGAAATATTTTCTCAATTTATATTTCATAATATTTCTATAAATAGAGAATTTCAATCTAGATCCAATGACTTATTATTTTTTATGCAACAAGCTTCTGATAGTTTCATAAAAATAAGATGTAATGGGAACGAGTTTGAAGTTCTGTTTATGATATACTCATTTAAATTATGTTAATTGCATATTTTGTGACATTGAAGGAAAAGGTGGCTTTTTTTGCCATTGCCTTAAATTTGTGATGTCACTGTAATGTTCTGTGTGATGTCACAAAGGGTGACATTATACAAATATGACATTCATTAGCAGGTGACAGTGAATATCGTCAACCCGAGAAAACCATTCGCCTCGGGTGACAATGGGATTTTGAGGGTATTTTTGAGTCCTTGGATGAAAGAATCTCCTCCATATGTAGCTCAGAAACGGCAGCAAACCTCGATAATGACATCTTGTTTGTTGATAGTCTGCTGTTTACAATCGCTATTGCACAGGTGCTTGATAAAATTGGCTGTTGCCGTCAAACGTTTTTGTGACCATCACGGTGGGGAAACGAAGCGGTGAAAAATGGCCACTGTGAAGAACCCGGAACGCACATTTTTCGCGCATGTGATATTTTTCTCTGTCTCATGGCAATATCACCCGCGCCCTTTAAAACCAATGTATTTTCGGAGGGTGACAGAGATTTTTGTTTAATTTTCTCCCAACCAATCAAATAGCTAGAAATTCACTTGAGGTGTAACAATACACAATGTTACATATCAAAACTTTGTGTGATGTTGTTATTACACTGCATAAGAACCTGTGTATAAAATTAATGTCCAGAAATCTGTTTGCTCCAACAGCTACATGAGTACAAAGCGGGAACCCCTTCACAGAAAACCTACTTTGCAGAATTATGGGATGTTGGTGGATCTACTAGCCATGAAAATAGCCGTGCAATATTTTATAATCCGGTACATGGTAAGAAAATACTGTCTTGTATAAGAGACTTACATTTTCTGCAAGTAGATAACAGTCTTTTATATGGGCGGTTAAGTTTGTTTCTGTACTGATGATGAAGAAAGTTGGTACATGTAATTCAGGAGCAAAACTTGAACCAGAGAATCTTTTTTATTTTCATGTTTTATTCCATTTTCATAAAAATAAAAAAGATATACAATCAAAATGTTACATAAAAAAACAGCAAATCATTTGAATTTTTTTTTTTTTGATATTTGTTTTTACTGAAAGTTTACAATAAAGCTTGGAACAGAAAAAGGCTGCCTATTGTTGCTTTCGTTTTGTTGTATAAAACGAACACTTTTCATTTTGTTAATGAAAGTCAATTTATTACTTAAAGATCCCTGTACTACTGCTAAAAACTAACTTAACCAAAAACACTTCTGAAAAGAAACTCCTATCTTGCGAACATTTTCAAAGTTAATGAAGTTATGAATTCTTCTTTTTCCTTTTAAATTGACAAAAATGAAACAAGACAATTCTTATTTGATAGAAAGATATTTCATTTGAAATATAACACAAAATATACTTATTCAATGGTCAACACAATTGCATAAAGGAGAGAAAAAAACTCCTGTTGTTGTTAAATGTTGACAAAAAAAGAAAAGTAAGCTGTAATTATTTTTATTTCTAAAATTTTGAGAGTTCATTAGGAAGATTTTCCAGAACTATTACACAGTATATGCTGCATGCATGAGAAAAGACGCTTCTTTATGTCATGAAATATATAATTCAAGTCTCTGGTGTTTTGTCTGCAGTGGGTCAAGGACTCATAACTAAGTATGTCATTTCTTAAAGACAAAAACATTTCAACTTCTTCAGGTATCATTCTAGTCCATGACCTGACGAACAGAAAGTCACATCATAATTTACGAAAATGGTTACAGGAGGTCCTAAACCGTGACAACCCCAAGGACAACAATGGGTAAGGCACTGAAATGGTTACAGAAATATCGGTGAAGATTTTCTAAGAAAAAAAAAAAAAATTAATGTGACTAAGGACAAAATTCAGTCTTATGCTAAAAAAAAAATTAAATATGCGGAACAAAAGCTATGGTGAAATGATTGAAAACATTTTTTGATACGTATACATTTAAATCAAAACATGGAATATCGCTTTCTCCAAGTATCATCTTATCAGAGCAATAGTGATACTGAGGCAATACCAAATCAAAAACTTGACAACTGTTCATGCTATTTAGATTGTTTTTTTATGTTATTGACTCTATTATATTGGCTTGATTGTTGAAATTTATAAATTCTTATTAATCAACAGTAAGGACAAGGGACACAATTTTGTGATGTTTTTTATTGGTTACAGAAAATATTGAAAATGCATTATTTAATGAAACAGGAATTGAGTTGCAGAATATAAGAATCAAGGCCAGTTTTCCAGATAGTCTACATGAGTTTTATAATGATGTATTTGTTATAAAAAAGAAGAAGAAGAATAAACATAATTTATCACATGAATACCATGTGATATATTGAATATACCCCTGTCATATATTAATGTTACAAATTCATGTAATATGACCTATGATGTCGAAATGATAATGAAATGACATCAGACTACAAGATATATTATAATTTCCCAATGGAGATGATAGATTTAGAGCTAAATTGGCAGAATCTTGAACTTCAAGAATGACAGTTTATTCAAAAAGTCCTAATCATGCATTAAGAGGGATCTTAGATTTGTTTCTATTTCATAGGAGATTTATGAAATTGGTCAAAAACTTTTCAATTCATTTGTGAGAGGTTTTATAAGATGAAAAACAATTGTTCACACTCTTATGCACTTAACAATGTTTCCTCGGCTTAAGGTATGAATATGATCCGGAACAGTTTGCCGGTAACCAAATCCCCATCTTAGTAGTAGGAACAAAATCTGACCTGGCCCAGAGTTTGCGGGAAAATGTCCTCACCAAGTCTTCCAGCATGGCAGAGGAATGTGGAGCCGAGGAACTGAACCTTGTAAGTGGATTAAAAAAATACTGAGAAGACTACTAGATTATCTCCTGTGGTCAAAGTTCTTCCCATTGTGTGTTAACTGTTAAAGTTATTTGTCAAAATAGTTATGATGAATATTACTACTGAAGGAAAAGTCCAGAAATTCAGCATGTATACAGATTACATATCAGAACAATAACTTTTTATTTATGTAGCAGGATTGAATTATTACGTCCAAATTTTTGACGGGATGTATTAAGGTATTGAGATAGTCTGTCTCTCTGTCTGTCTGTCTGTCTGTCCAAACTTTGGTTTTGGCAGGATAACTTGCTTGAATATCAGCTTGTTCAGTATACAAAGCCTACAACTTAATTTGAAGTTGAGCAAAATGCTTTCTGAACTGACAAAGTTTCTTGATGTGAGGTAACTAACTTGGTGACCTTGAATTATAACAAGAACAGCATGTGTCTGTTAAGTCTCTATCCTGTTCAGAAAGTATAAGGTTGTTTTAGGTGGTTTTTTTATTTTGTTTTGTTGTATGTCCTATTAACAGCTAAGGTTATTTAAGGACGTGAAGAACAAGGTAGCAAGCATCTCAGGGATATTGCGACCTCAGAGAAGCAACTCTAATTCTACATTACAATTTCATAGTCAAGTGCAATTTCAGGCTTAAGGATATATGCTACCTCTTTGTGATATGCATCAAAAAGAGTTCTACACTAAAGAATCTGTAAATTTGGCCCTTCTGAAAGGTGCGCATAATTGATGCCACTTTAAAAAGTAGACAAGAATTGATGACACGTTTAGAAAAGAACTTAGGTATTGATGACAAACTTAGAATAATCAATGACATATTTGACAGGTACACAAAATAAAATTAATGCACAACAAAGAAGATTTGATAAGGGATTAGTAATTTTGAATCATATAAGATGATGCCACTCAAATATACCTGAAGTATGCATTGTAACTAGTAATGTAAGAAAATAGTTTAAATTTGATTTGTTATTTTGTAATTTCAGAGCTGTCACAACGTTAAACATCTGTCACCAGGTTCAACAAATGCCGTTAAAATATCACGATTCTTTGACAAGGTAATTGAAGCATGTGTGTCCTGTTGTGTGTTTTACTGCTATAGTGTATCCTATTAAACAGTTATTCAAAAACTTTTGGTACATTTAGTAAAACTCTGATAGGATGCCCCGTGGTTGTTTTGCCATCTTTTTCCGGCACGCCTAGCTTTATTTAATCATTTCTGAGAAGAAAACCATACTTTGCGGAATTTTTATGTCCTAATATTTATTATACTTACAGGTAGTTGAGCGACGGTACTACAGTCGAGACGGTGTCGGTCAGGTCAGTACCTCTGGTAGTGGTAACAGAATATCCTATACTTACCTAGCTTAACTCGACTCATTCTGCCATCACCGTATTAACCTTCAGCTTTACATGTACACATGGATAAACTCACCGGCAACTTTAATATCTGTATTTTACCTGTAGTCTTAATTACATTTTGTTAGGCAAATCTGATGCCCCTGCTGCATAGTAGAGGATATATTTAGTGTTTGTTTTTTCTGTGTTTCCATCTGTTCACCGATCTGTCCATCATCTTTTTGGTAAGACTTAGCATTTGCGAATGTTTATGCAGGCCTTGCAAGCTTTGTCTAGGCTCGCCTGGAAGCGACATCAGATTACTAGGCCCGACCTTATTTCATAAACAAACAGCTCTGGTTCTGACATTAGGTTCAACCGTTTGTATCGTGATAAATGAATGTGGCCTAACTAGAACATGGTTTGGAGCAGTATATAGGTAGAAATAGAGAATTGTCTCCCTTAGATTGTAAACTTTAAAAAGCTGTTCTGAAGTTTTTAACTTTGAGTCAATTGATGACCACTGTTTTGAGTTTATATTGTTTGTCTGGTGTTATTATGTGAAAAATTGAAAAGAAAATATTTAAATAATAGAAAAAAGTACATTGTAATGTGAAAATATTCTGGTATAAATAATCTAAAAATAAAATGTATTTTTTTTTAAAAATACCTTACCAATTATTTTGAAATGAAGTTATAAATTTTTACAATTCATGTACAGTACATGTATTTTGCCACACAGAGTAATTCATTTGTTACTGTCTGTCATTGAAATTTCCTACTTTTTCGTATTGGCGCATTGGTCCATCGGCCGTTATAGAGCATTTTGGACGACCATCACAGTGTTTACATGTATGTATCCTTGGAAATAAGGTGATGGTCAAGGTCAGGTGAAGGTTTATCTCTGTAAATGTATACCTGTTGCAATCTTGTTTATTGTTTTAAATTTTGCTATCACAGACATATCTGTCCTATATAAGTATTCTCTAGTTAAATAACTTTAAGGATCATTGCACCACTGTCCTATAAACATAATTATCTGGTTAAATATCTTAAAGTATCCCTGTACAGCAGCCAAAATTCTAAATTTCTTTGAAAACTTTTTTTCTAGAATGACTCAAGCTTTATTAAATCATGTCTGACCTGAAAATCGTACATTGTGGAAATTTTATGAAAAAAATTTCAGACGAAATGAACAAAGGACTTGGGGCGTTCTAGGTCATTGTCAACCTCATAGAAAAACAAATTGCGTTGCTATAGAGAAAAAGCCAAAATGGGGTGTTTCTGAAGGTGTTAGCATGCAGAAATGAAAGCTTCACCATGTGACAACCAAACAATCCTTTCTACAAATGACCACTGGTATGACAATGTTTAAGCATGCCAAATATGTATTTGGTTGGTGCATGCTGAGGCTTACAAAAATCGAACAGTGTTTAATTGATTTGCTTCAAATTGGCCAGTTTTCAACATAAATAGCGCACAATAGACAATATTCACGCAATTAAGTATGAAAAATGCGGTTTATTACCTCCCTTTGTTATACCATATATCATTCACCAGGTGCCGAGTGAATTTGAAATTTCATATTGGTATACTTCATTTATTTAAGATGACAAATAAACAAACTAATCGTAAATCCCTGATGAGGCCGGAAATGACCCTAAATGGCCGCAGTGCTTTGTAAACTGCTGTGTCTTTAGACTGAAAATGCCATGGAGCCAGATCTGGATCAAAACCTAGAACTGCGCTCTTTCAAACTGAGCTGACCTAGTTAACAGTTAAAGAGCTGGTACGTAGGATTAGTCGCTGAACAGTGACATGTATATCAAAATAGAAATACATAGGAGTTTACTGTATGTACGAAAAACTACAGCAAATATTTTCTTTACTGTTTGCCTGCAGTGGGACAGCGATCCTTAAAAATATTATTCACTTTTAACCCGCGTACGGATTCAGTTTTATAAATAGCAGTAAAAATGTTCACGTTAGTCCTATAAATTGTACTGTACATGAATACAAAACTCATTACTATGTAGATATATCAAAAGTCTGGAGCATATAGGTTAAAATTTCATGTTTGTATCAAACACTTAGCAACATTGATTGCTTTATCTTTTATTAGAGCTGCATACGTATTCACTTGTATGCCCAACTACATGCATCGCTACTTAAATAATAATAAAAAGAATTGAGGTGCATAGAGATTCACTTGTATGCCCAACTACATGCATTGATACTTAAATTTTTAAAAAAGGCCATAATTGAGGTGCATACGTATTCAATTGTATGCTCAACTACATGCATTGATACTTAAATAGAAAAAGGATAATTGAGGTGCATACATATTCACTTGTATGCCCAACTACATGCATCGCTACTTAAATAATAATAAAAAGAATTGAGGTGCATACAGATTCACTTGTATGCCCAAATACATGCATTGATACTTAAATTTTTAAAAAAGGCCATAATTGAGGTGCATACGTATTCAATTGTATGCTCAACTACATGCATTGATACTAAAATAATAATAAAAAGAATTGAGGTGCATAGAGATTCACTTGTATGCCCAACTACATGCATCGCTACTTAAATAATGAAATAAAGAATTGAGGTGCATACATATTAACTTGTATGCCCAACTACATGCATTGATACTTAAATAATGAAAAAAAGAATTGAGGTGCATACAGATTCACTTGTATGCCCAAATACATGCATTGATACTTAAATAAGAAAAAGATAATTGAGGTGCATACATATTCACTTGTATGCCCAACTACATGCATTGATACTAAAATAATAATAAAAAGAATTGAGGTGCATACAGATTCACTTGTATGCCCAAATACATGCATTGACACTTAAATAAGAAAAAGATAATTGAGGTGCATACGTATTCACTTGTATGCCCAACTACATGCATTGATAAATAAACAAAGATAATTGAGGTGCATACGTATACACGTGTATGCTCAACTTCATGCATTGATACTTAAGTAAGAAAAGATAATTGAGGTGCATACGTATTTACTTGTATGCACAACTACATGTATTGATACTTAAATAAAAAAGGATAATCAGTATGTAAAAGTTTAACCAATTTAAATTTATAAGGGAGAAAGCCAAATAGATCATCTATTATTGACCGGACAGTATGTCAGGTTAGTGTAACTAGTAAGCAGGGATCAGTACCAATCACAGCGTTCTTCTAATCTGATTGTTTAGATTTTTTTTGGTTTCATCTCTCACGGTTCGAGGTATTGGCTTCCGTCAGTGTTAGTGATACTTTTAATCACATACATTTCCATTCTAGTTAGCTGAAGTTGGTAATTTTTGTATCTATTTAAATTGGAGTGTATTTTTACTTACTCTGCTTTGCTAATTCTTATCTTAGTCAAACTGTAACTGGGCTAGAGGAAAAGTTAATCTCTACAGTAACAATCAACATTTTGACCGTCTATAATGCATTTTTAGGTCACCTGAGACAAAGTCTCAAGTGACCTATTGCGATCGCCTTTTGTCCGTCGTCGTCCGTCGTCCGTCGTGCGTCCGTAAACAATTTATATTTTCGACTTCTTCTCCAAAACCCCTGAACCAATTTCAATGAAATTTTGCAGGGACCTTCCATGGACAAAGGTCAACAAAAATAGTTGCCGGTTTAGTCCTACGCCCCCAGGGGCCTGAGGGGCGGGGCCAAAAAGGGTC